CCTCCAGCTCCTAACCAAGCACTGACTTTTAATCTCCAACCTACCTCTTGGCCTCTAATCTACCCTTCGATCTATACCCTGATCCTCCAGTGTTGACCCACTGTCTTGGTGAAAGTTTCCTCTAATCCACCAGACAAGGGCCTGGACCATTCCTGGACATGACCTCTGGCCTCTGACCCTCTCTCTCAAAGATCTCTCTGGGTGTTTTTGGAAGTCCTGGAAACCAAACCTGTCTCCTTAGACCACGCCTGTCCCATGACCAGTGATCCTACCTCTTTGTCCTCTGACCCCAGGTGCTGCTACTCGGCGGCTTGTGAAGGTGTCATCTATAAGCACTGAGTCCTCTGATGACTTTGAGGAACGAGACCCTGGTAAGGCTGACATAGGTGGGCAGGTGAGATTACAGGAACAAGAGGGTGGCCCTGACAGCCCTGACCTCCTTCCTTGCAGATCTGGGGGATGGGATGGAGAATGGACTAGGCAGCCCCTTCAGGAAGTGGACACTGTCCACAGCTGCTCAGACCCACCGGCTACGGCGGCTGCGTGGTCCAGCCAAGTGCAGAGAATGTGAAGCCTTCATGGTCAGCGGGACAGAGTGCGAAGAGGTGTGACCTAGACTGGAGACCTAATGACCTGTGCTGACTTTGATCAAACACACTGACCCAGATCCATGCAACCCTTTGCTTTAGGACCTGCCTTTGCCTGATGTCCTATCTGAGTCTCAATGTTTGTTTTCTGTCGTGGTGTATGTGTGTGTGTGTGTGTGTGTGTGTGCATGGGTGCGTGGTGTGGGTGTGTCAGAGGATACTTTAAAGGAGCCATCTCTTTCCTTCCTGCTTGTGAGTCTTGAAGATCGTCATCAGGCTTGGCAGCGAGCACTTTACCTACTGAGCCTTTTCACTGGTCAGGTGTAGCATCTCTTACCATTCTCCACTCCCTGGCTTTTCTCATAACCTCCTCATCCCCTGCTGACCTCCTAATAACCTTCTTGTCCCCAGCTGAACCCCTAACCCTGTGACATTCCCCCCAGTGCTTTTTGACCTGTCACAAGCGCTGTCTGGAGACCCTCCTCATCCTTTGTGGACACCAACGGCTTCCAGCCCGGATGCCTCTCTTTGGAGTTGACTTCCTACAACTCCCCAGAGACTTCCCTGAGGAGGTACCCTTTGTGGTTACCCGGTGCACAGCTGAGATAGAGCGTCGCGCCCTTGGCCTGCAGGGCATCTATCGGGTCAGTGGGTCTCGAGTGCGCGTGGAACGGCTGTGCCAGGCCTTTGAGAATGGCCGAGTACTGGTTGAACTGTCGGGAAACTCTCCTCATGATATCACCAGTGTCCTCAAGCGATTTCTTCAAGAGGTAGGTAGCTCTAGGCCTGAGGTGGTGGGCAGGAACCATGCAGCCTCTGGCTCAGGACCCTCAGCAGCCCATCCCCACTCCTGTCCCCATCAGCTCACTGATCCCGTGGTCCCCTTCCACCTCTACGATGCCTTCATCTCTCTGGCAAAGACCCTGCATGCAGACCCTGGGGATGACCCTGGAACCCCCAGCCCCAGCCCTGAGATTATCCGCTCGCTGAGGACCCTCTTGGTGCAGTTGCCTCCCTCTAACTACAGCACCGTGCGGCACCTGGTGGCCCATCTGTTCAGGTGTGCATGGGTCCCTAAGCTTTGAATCATGGCCCTCTTTCCCTAGAAACATAACTGCTTACCTGTGTGGCTCATATTAACCTCTGACCTTTCATATTTCTTCTGAGCTCAGAGCCCTGGACACACACACCTGACTCTGACACGGTCTCAGTGACCAGGCACTACTTTCCTGTGGCCTGGCCAAGTCACCAGGCTAGCTCACAGGTCCTACCATTCTCCTCCAACTTCATGGTTGACCTTTTTCCCCACCATTCGCAGGGTGGCTGCTCGGTTTGAAGAAAACAAGATGTCTGCCAACAACTTGGGAATTGTATTTGGGCCTACGCTGCTGCGGCCACCAGATGGACCCAGGGCCCCCAGTGTCAGCCCTGTGTCCTGTCTGCTGGACTCCAGTCACCAGGCTCAGCTTGTTGAATTCCTCATTGTGCACTATGAGCAGATCTTTGGAATGGATGAGCTCCCTCTGGCCTCTGAGCCCCTGACCCAAGATCCTGGCCTAGCTCCCACACTCCTCGAATCCAGTCCCCAGCACCCAGCCCTACTTCTTGCCCAAGACATACAACCCCTGACCATAGCCTCAGACTCCAGCCCAGGTCCCAAACTCCACAGTGCCCCGGAGAAGTGTCTGGAGGTCACACCTTCTGAGGTAGAAGTCTGCTTATTCCACAGCTATGGGGATGGCCTTGTCTGTGTTTAATACCCCCCTTCTTTTGCACAACTGGACATTGAATCCAGTGCCTGGTGTGCGTTAAATGTGTGCTTATCACTAAGTCCTCCTAGCTCTCTTTAATTTTGTTTGCATTTTTCAAAAGCATTTATTTGTTTGTTTGTTTGTTGAGTGAGTGTAGCCACACACATGTCATCGCATGAGCATGAAAGCCAGAGGACAGCCTATCCTTCATGGAACCTGGGGATAGAATTCTTCCACTGAATTTCAGTGGAATTGTTTCTACTGAAACATCTCACCAGCCCAAATTGCTTTTGTTACATTTTTAATTAATTAATTTATGTATTAAAGGGGTGTCACATGGAAGTCAGAGAAAAAGTCAGTTCTCTTCTAGCATGTAGGTCCTGGAAATGGAAATTGCCAAGCTTGGTGACAGAGGCCTTTTCATCCTTAACCTCCTTTTAGTGTTTATTTTGTGGCAGAGTCTCCTTAAATTGCCAGATTGGCCTTGAACTCACACTGTAAGCCAGTTTAATGGCCCTCTTGTCTAGGCCTATTGACTAGTAGCTGAGATGACACATTGTCTCGTATATACGTGTGTGTGTGTGTGTGTGTGTGTGTGTGTGTGTGTGTGCACATTGGTGGTTTTTTTGCCAGGATGTATGTCTGTAAGATGTCAGGTCCCCTGGAACTGGAGTCACAGACAGTTTTGAGCTATCATGTAGGTGCTGGGTATTGAACCTGGGTCCTCTGGGAAAGCAGTCAATGCTTCTAACCTCTGAGCTGTCTCTCTAGGCCCGACACACTTGCCTTTTTATTGTATTGTTTTATTTGATTTTGAGATAGGGTCTTTCTCTGTGATCTTCCTGCCTTAGTGTTTTGAGTGCATGACATAGGGATGGGAAGAGGCATGGGCAAGTTTGGGGAAAACGTAAGGCAGTGAGACCAGCTGGGCAAAGGCCTTGAGGTAGGAGCGCGCGTGCTATGTGCAGCCCTAGATTGTAAAGAGTGGGTAAGAGAAACGAGAATGGAGCAAGGACCAGGTTGCAAATGAATCTCGGTGACAAAGTGATCATCTAGCATGTGTGAGGTTTTGGATTTGGATCCCAGCACTAGAAAAGAAGGTTAGTCAGACAGCTCTGTTAGCTGCTGAGCACAGGGTGTGAGTGACAGAGGAGCACTGGCTATGGACAGTGTGCATTGAGACAAGGTCACTCACTGAACTTGCAGCATGCTATTTCAGCTAGGCTGGCATGCCAATCAGCTCCCAGGATGCCTGTTTCCACCCCATAATATAGTAGTTACAAGTACTCCCAGTCATGCCTGGCTTTTTACAAAGATGCCAGAAATTCAAACTTGTCTCCTCATGCATGCACAGCAAATCCTCTGATGCACTGAGCCACCCCCTTTACTGTTAGGAGTCACATTCTGGGTTTCTTCCTGCAGATTGCAACTCTGCAGAGAGACCAAAAGGAGGAAAAGGAGGTGGAAAACACCAGAGCTGGGGCAGGGGAAGGTGAGTGTCCTGGAGAGCTCTCTCTTTCCTGTATGGTTGCATGGCTGACTGGTCACTCCTGGATGTACGTCCTGAGAGCTTGGGGATGCTTAGCATTCATCTTTCCCCAGGGTCCAGCCACAGCCCTGAGGACTTGCTCCTGGGAACACAATCCCGGGGCCACTTCAGTCGCCAGCCAGTGAAGTATTCACGGGGAGGTGTACGACCAGTCACTCATCAACTGTCCAGCTTGGCTCTGGTAGCTTCCAAACTGTGTGAGGAGACTCCTGTTACTGTCTCAACAGTGCACCGAGGTAGTTTGAGGGGACGAAGCCTGGGCCCTGCTGCTGCCTCCCCTGAAGGCAGCCCCCTGCGCCGAAACCCTCTGCCCAAGCACTTTGAGATCACCCAGGAGACAGCCCGGCTACTCTCCAAGCTGGACACTGAGGCTATGTCCAGGGCTACCTGTTGTGCTGACACTGAGCCTGAGGGATCTGAGGAGCATCTCTGACCACCCACCATCCCAGGAGACTCAGGACTGAGCTGATGACCCCATATGTCTCTCTACCTGCCCCACCTGGTAACCAGACCAATTCAGTGGGGTGTGGGGAGAGACAGGTTACCAGAGAGTTGGGTAAGGAAGAGCACCCATCTTGGGAAGTCCTCACCATCTCCCTACTAGAGGAGGTTAAAACAGCCAGACAACACAGGTGCACAGGCGAGTCAGGATCAGTATCTAATGGTCAATTCAGGTCCGAAGATCCTTGGGGTTACCCCAGTCTCAGATGTCTGACTACTCTGATCATAATGGCTCCTGGCCCTAGTGCCACTTGCCTCCTTGACAGATTCTATGTGAGTAGGTGGGTGTAGTTTAGACCTCTCACCTGCTTTTACATCTTTCTGGATTTGGTTTGTTTGTTTGTTTTGAGGCGGGGTCTCTTGTAGCCCTGGCTGGTCTGGAACTCTCTATGTAAACCAGGTTGTTATAGAACTCAGAAATTCTCTGCCTCCCAAGTGCTGGCCAAATCTGGATTCTTATAACCCCTGAATAAAGTCCTGCCCTGGTTGAACACAACAGTGCTAATGGTGCTTGCTGCAAAGCCTGACCCACTTGGTAGTAGGAGAGAACCAATTATTGCAAATTATCTGACCCATGCCCATAAACATGTACATGTACAAATAAAATTACATTTTAATTAAAAAAAAAATCCACCGAGCAGTGGTGGCACACGCCTTTAGTCCCAGCACTCAGGAGGCAGAGGCAGGCAGATCTCTGAGTTGGAGGCCAGCATGGTCTGTAGAGTTAGTTCTAGGACAGCCTGTTTTGAAAAAGGTAAAAAACAATCCTGTGATGTTCTTACACATCTGTCTTTGCCAGGGAAGGCTGACAAAGAAAACGTCACCAGTAAGAGCAGCTTCTTTTATCCCTTTATTACTGACCTGATGAACCAAGACTTCTAAAAACCACCCTGTGAAACCCCACAGGCAATTAGCGCAGGGCCTGGAGCCCCAGATGAGTCACTAAGGCCCTGCCAGAGCTCTGTGTCCCTGATCCGGTTCTACATAATCAAATACAACCCGGTGCAGATAATCGGGACAATGGGACTGTGTGCTGCGGACGGGGGAGGCCAGGGGAGGAGGCTGCAGGCCAGAGCCAGCACAGGCTGAGGGTAGACCACGGGAAGTCAGGGTGGCACACAGGGTCCGGGGCGTGTGCTGGTGGCGCGCCTTCAGTGGGGCGGGGGTCCAGCCGCGAGCTTGAGACGGCAGGGTGAGGTGGGGCGGGGCTTGCAGCTCGGTACAGGATTGGTCAGGATCAGGGGGGCGCCCCAGAGGCCTCAGCTGCGGATCTTTCCAGCTGCCAGGTGACTCAACCTCAAAGGCGGGAAAGGGCAAACACGTGAGGTGTGCGGAGGACGGAGTTAAAGGGGTGTCCCACGTGGGAAAACGGGGCTGCGGGGAGGAGGTGGGACTACCGCAGTTTTTCAGCACACCATTCTTTCTACATGGGGGTGGTACTCTCCAGGGGGCGGGACACTCCCCCAGGGCCCCAGAGCTGGGGCAGGTAGGGGCGTGGCCTTGGGCCCCGCCTCTCTTGCATGCTCGGCCTGGGGCTTCTAGCACACCGGACGCAGCAGCTGCGCAACCGCCCATCGCACTGTCATGGATCTCAGCCCCACATCGACCCCCCACGAGCCTTCCCCGTCTGCCGCTTGACTGGAGGCCCAGGTAAGACCAGGGTGGGTGCAGGCTTCCGGAGAGAGTGAGGCGTACCCCTTCTTCTCCACAGCCCTTCCTCTAGCCCAGGGTCGTCTGCAAAACACCTTCTTTTGTCCCGGAGGCCTCTTGGGTCCCACCCCGGAATGGCCTGCTTCCAGAGCTCTTGCGCGGAATCCTGCCCATAACTCAACTTCTGGTGCGGTCTCTCTGTCTCCTCTGCTCACTCTGGTCACCTCTGCGCCTTGGCACTGCCCTCCGGGTGCTGACTAGGAACCTTGCTCGGGTGTGCACACGCCTGACCCTGGCACCAGTGTGATCTTCAGGCTGCCCCAGCCAGCCCTCCCACACTGGTGCCTCGGAAACCACAGGTGTCCAATCTGGTCGCAGATTGGTGGCAGGAGGCCCCGAATTGCAATGTAGATCACAATGCTGTGGGGTCTTCAGATTTTAAAAAGCAAAAAAACCAAAAACAAACAAACTCTACCTATCAGAGATCCTTTTAAAAATTGTTGTGGCAACATTCAGCAGAGGCGAGTGGATCTCTTGATTTTGAGGCCAGCCTGGTCTCACAGGGTGGGATGTGTAGCGAGACCCTGCTTTCTGAGTAGATAAACAGAGCTCGTATTTTTTAGGTCACTCTGGCTCTCACCACAGACACCTTGCTCAGAGGGCCTCTGAATCTGTGGGTTGCACTCACCCAATCTTAATTCTTGTCTTTGGCCACTGCCTGTTCATGCCTCCTCCATCAGGGACCATCTGCACTGACCTCTCTCTTTCCATATTCACAGGTGGTCATCATGGGTCAGTGCTACTACAATGAGACCATCGGCTTTTTCTATAATAACAGTGGCAAGGAGCTCAGCCTTCATTGGCGCCCCAAGGATGTGGTAGTGGTGGCTCTGGGGCTGACAGTCAGTGTACTGGTGTTGCTCACCAATCTGCTGGTTATTGCAGCCATTGCCTCCAACCGGCGCTTCCACCAGCCCATATACTACCTGCTTGGCAACTTGGCTGCTGCTGACCTCTTTGCCGGCATGGCCTACCTCTTCCTCATGTTCCACACTGGCCCACGAACTGCCCGGCTCTCCATCAGAGGCTGGTTCCTGCGACAGGGTCTGCTGGACACCAGCTTGACAGCATCAGTGGCCACACTGCTGGCCATTGCTGTAGAGCGGCACCGTAGTGTGATGGCTGTTCAGCTACACAGCCGCCTACCCCGGGGCCGTGTGGTCACACTCATTGTGGGTGTGTGGGTGGCTGCACTGGGCCTGGGGTTGCTACCTGCACACTTCTGGCACTGCCTCTGTGACTTAGACAGTTGCTCACGAATGGTGCCCCTGTTCAGCCGCTCCTACCTGGCTGTGTGGGCCCTGTCCAGCCTTCTGGTCTTCCTGCTTATGGTAGCTGTCTACACACGCATTTTCTTCTATGTGCGTAGACGGGTGGAGCGCATGGCAGAGCACGTCAGCTGCCATCCCCGCTACCGAGAGACGACGCTCAGCCTAGTCAAGACTGTTGTCATCATCCTGGGTAAGTGGGTACTCTGACCAGCTTCAGGGACCTAGCCTCCGCAGGGCTAGCCCAGGCTGGCTTCAAATTAAATAGTAATAGAAGATGATCTTGAACTTTTATTTCTCTTGCCTTCATCTCCCAGATGATAGGGTGTACTCTACACCTGATTTCAAGTACCACCAACTTATTGGTATCCTCAGCCCTGTTTTTATGGTTGTTTGTGTTTGTTTGTTTTTTAAGGCAGGGTCTCACAAAGTACCCCCGACTGTTCTGGAATTCATTGTATAGACCAGGCTGGCCTCGAATTCACAGATATCTGCCTTTCTCTGCCTCCTGAGTACTGGGAATGAACCACTACATACCCAGCCTTTCCTCATTTTGTTTTGTTTTAGATTTATTATTATTTGTGTGTGTGTGTGTATGTGGCTGTGAGATTATGTCTGGGCTCATGCAAATGTGTGCAGGTGCATGTGGAGGCTAGAAGTAGCCTCCTAAGCACTTGGAGCTGAAATTGCAGGCAGTTTCGAACGGCCTGAAGTCATTGTTGAGAACTGAATTTAGATACCTGTTCTTACCCATTGAGCCATGTCTTTCCAGCCCTGTTTTTGTTTCTGCTTATTTATTAATTTGGTTTTCTTTTGAAGTAGGATCTCACTGTGTAGACTTGGCTAACCTGGAGCTCACTATGTAGACCAGGCTGGCCTTGAATTCATAGAGGTCCACCTACCTGCTTCTGCCTCCCGAATACTGAGATCAAAGGCATGCACCACCACACCTGGCTCATGGTTTAGGTTTTTGTTTTTTTGAGACAGGGTCTCTCTACATAGCCATGGTATCCTGGAACTCACTCTTAGACCAGACTGGCCTCAAACTCACAAAGATCACAGGTGGCTGCCTCTGCCCCTCAGTGCTGGAATTAAAGGCCTGCGCCACCATGGCCCAGCTTGGTTACTTTTTTAATGCAGGGTTTCATGGAGTCCAGGTTGTAGCTAAGGCAGACAGGCCTTGAAGCACTGACATTCCTGCCTCTCTTTCCCTGAGTAGATGGGTGTATGCCCTTCCACCTGGCTCCCCTTGGGAGTTTATTCTTTGCGGTGGGGCTAGAAAATGACTTGGTAAGAGCACTTCCTGTTCTTCCCAGGACCCAGGTTCAATCCCTAATACCCACAGTAGGCAGCTTATAACCATCTGTAACTCCAAGGGATCTGATGCCCTTTTCTAGCTCCAGGACATCACCCACATGCATGTGGCTTACACTCATACACGTATACACACACATGTAAATAATTTTTTTTAATTTATTTTGTGAATGTGTGCACAGATGTGTATATAATGCACTTTAGTTCATCTGTAGAGGTCTGAGGACAACATCTGGGAATTAGTTTTCTCCTTACTCCACATGGGCTCTGGGAATTTGATTTGGGTCCTCAGTCTTAGCAATAAGTCCCTCTTTTGGGCTTTTAGTATAGAAGAAAATCTATTTCTGGTTGAGGACTGATTCTCCCCAGTGATTCCTGGCCCACTACTCTGTAACCAGCCTGTCTCATTCTTTAGTGAACAAATCTCCTATAAAAGGTTGAAGGGCCATGGGCTATGTGTCCCAGTTGGGACAGGTGTCCTCTGACAGGCAGATTGGAGAAAGGTGTCTACCCTCCTAGCAGTTCTGCCCCACAGGGAGCTTGTGTGGTGTGTGCCACACAGTTGGTCACTGCTTTAGCACATGGGTGGTTCAGACAAGTCTCCTGGTGGCTCACCATCGTCAACCTCCACCCCTCACTCCCAGTCTCTGTCCTGCAGGGGCATTTGTGGTGTGCTGGACACCAGGCCAAGTGGTGCTGCTCCTAGACGGTCTGGACTGTAAATCCTGCAATGTCTTGGTGGTGGAGAAGTACTTCCTGCTCCTGGCTGAGGCCAACTCACTGGTCAACGCCGCGGTATACTCCTGCCGAGATGCTGAGATGCGCCGGACCTTTCGCCGCCTCCTCTGCTGCATGTTCCTCCGCTGGTCCAACCACAAATCTTCCCGATGCTCATCTTCCGCCCAGACAGGTGCCAGCACCCGGATCATGCTTCCTGAGAACGGTTGCCCACCGATGGACTCCACCCTTTAGCTTCCTTGGACTGAGGCAGAAGATGGGGCAGCAAAAATATCACCCCACAGCCTCTAGCAGTTTCCCTGACTCAGTCCAGCCCAGCAGATGCATGGCTCTCAATACTCTCCAGGCCACAGATCTGCCTACCTCAGAACACAGAGATTTGGGGTCATCTCTGTGCACCTGGGAGAGCATCCAAAGGGACTTGGCAGTCTGGCTCTCAAACATCTCAGGTTTTACTTATTTTTGTTTTAAACACGTTTTATATTTTTTCTGTATATCTCTGGTATGACCTGTAGACTGTTTCTTCCTACATGGTGCTGTTGGTGTTCAGGGTAGAAGAGGTGAGAGCTGTCCTAAGTTACACCACCCACTCATGCAGGCTAGACTATAGGTATGCTGTCTTTCTGAGGCCATTTTGGTTTTGTTTTTTTGAGACAGGATCTCACGCTAGCCCAAGCTGGCCTTGAACTCACTGTGTTGCTGAGGAGGGCCTTGATCCTTCTCACTCCACCTCCCAAGTGCTGGTATTGAAGCTGATTCCTTGGGAGTTTTGAGCAGCCTCTGAGGGCTCACCTGCCTCCATTAGCAGGGAGGGAGTGCATGATACAGGGCAAGCCTTTCCACTCTAAGGTTGCCAAGGTCATTTGTTTGTTTGGTTTTTTTTTTCCTTGTCATTAATTCAAACAATCTGTCCCTGTGTCCTGGAATTATCTATCTATCATGGCACAGAGTTGACGAGAATCCTTCAACATGGAATCCCCTGTCCTCATCTCATTCCTATTCTGTGCCCCCAACCTTGTTTTTTGTTTTTTGTTTTTTTGGAGGCAGGGTTTTATGTGGCCTAGGCCTTATGTTGCTGCATCCATCTTGCCTCTCAATGCTGTCTGCTGGGATTAGAGCTCTGTACTCCCATTCCTGGCTTCTGCCTCTTTCTGGAGTCTCACTTAAGCTTCCTTCTGCTGATGTCCTTCTACTATCCCCTCTTCAAGAACCTAGAGCAATTTCTGGCTTATATAAGCCTTTTCTTTCTACCTGCCTCCCCCCAACCATTATTTTATTTTATTTTCTAAGACACAGGATCTCACAACATAGCTCAAGCCATCTAACTCACTGTATAGCTCAGACTAACTTCCATCTCTCAGCTGTCTTCCTGCCTCGACTTCCTGAGTGCTTGAATGACAAGCCTAAGACACCATATTCAGGTGTAGCCGTGTCTTACTACACAGCTTGGAAATGACACAGACATGCCAGGAGGGACCAGAAAACTCCCTGAGGAAGGGAGTTCAGTGTCCCTAGAAACCTGAAATTAAGTCACAAGTTTCTGGAACTTGCTACTCCTCAGGCCTGAGATGAGCCCTCTCCCTGCCTAGAAAAGCCCCTGGCAGTCAGGTGGACCATGAGCCTGGCTCCCTGCCCCACCTCACCAGAGGAGCAAGAGTAGTGTTCTCATTTCGGATTCACATGCTGAGCAACAGCAGGAATGTGAACCTCTGTCTTATCTGAGGCCAAATTCTTAAGGCATTAAAGCATCTGTTCCCAGAGAACTGGAAATGATGCTGTCTCTACAATGTTCTCCATTTTCTCACAGCTGGGGCCTGGCACACACTAGGCCGGTTCCCACCACAGAGCTCTGTCACAGGAGCCATATCCAAAGAGAAGATGCCCATTCCTACCTCTGTGAAGACACAAGACTGAACTGTGGGGCTAGGTTCTTGATCCCATGTGGGCAGTGTGTACCTACAGACTGAGTCTCCCAAGGTGACAACCCAGGAACTACCAGCTGACCATTAAGGACTCTGTCCCTACTTCCATGGACCTCCAGACCTGTTGGACCTTGTCACTTTGCGTATTGAGGCAGCCAATCAAATCCTGAATCGAGGACCCTCTGACGGACTCCAGAGGTCAGTTGTCTCGCCTGTACTCAGGTCTGTCCTACATCATCATCGTCCAGACTTTGTTGACAGATTTATCTTGTCAGCTTTTTATTTCCTTTTTCCACTTATAAGTGTTACAGTTTTTGTTTTCTTTTTTGACACAAGGTTTTCTATGTAGCCCTGACTGTCCTGGAACTTGGTCTGTAGACCAGGCTGGCCTCGAACTCAGAGATCCACCTGTCTCTGCCTTCTGCAAGCTAGAATTAGAGAGTGCCTAGCTGTGTGCATATCTTTATACAAATGTGGGCATTCTCGTACCTTTTGGTGCATGTGGAAGCTAGAGGTGAGTGTCGAGATCACCGCTGCAAGCTCTGCCATCTTACTCAATGAAACAGGGTCTCCCAACCAAACCCAGAGCTCACCAAAACAGCCAGTCTCACTGACCTGCTGCTTTGGGTAACCCTTTGTCACTGCCCTTCAAGGCTGGAATTACAGTCTGGTCACTCCACCCCTGCATTTATGTGGGTTTTTGCGGCTCTGAATTCACACTTGAGTGGCAAGCGCTTAACTGCTGAGCCCCCAACCCCACCTTGCTCCAGCCCAGCTTTTTTCTCTTGATCTTTCCTCTGCCAGGTAGCACCAAGCTTTTGTCTTTTTAGGCCTGTGGAACTTATAGTCCTCTCCCCACCAAATCAAGCCTGTGTACTGCTAGCCACTGACTGACATTTTGTACAGGGTACCACTCTCGGCCCCCTTCAAGGGTTCCATTCCTATTGCTGGGGCCAAGCCTATGGTTTCCTTCATCAGAGGGTTTCTCTTGTTCTTTTACATTTGCATTTCTTGCTGGCTGCCCCTGAAGTCTCCCCATTGCCCTACCTGCTGCTTGAGTTTCCTCTTCAGTAACAGAATGAAATGGGCTTCCCAGTCATGCTAACACTCACCAAACCTTCATCTGAATTCTGTCTCAAAGCAAACAGATTCTGGGAGGTTCTGTGATTTTGGAGAGGGATTTGTGTACTTTTTCCTTCTGCTTGAGGAGCCTGTTGTCATGTCATGCATCCCAAATGAGAGACAAAAGGCCAGTGAGAGTTCTGTCAGACATGGGGTACACACCACATGCTAGCGTTTGCTAGACCTGGAATCCTGGGTTGGAAGGAATGAGAGGCCTAAGATCAGCAGGAAAAGGTGGTTTCTGCCAAGCCTGATAACATGAGTTCAATCCCTGGGCCCATATGGTAGGAGAGAACTAAGTCATGAAAGCTGTTCTCTGACCTTCACATGTGCCAATGCTTGTGCGTGCAGATGAGCAGATGGGCAGATGGGCATAGGCATGTGCACGCACACAACACACACACACACGAGACGTATTTAAAAGCAAAGAACAGCCGAGCAGTGGTGGCACATGCCTTTAATCCCAGTACTTGGGAGGCAGAGGCAGGTGGATCTCTGTGAGTTCAAGGCCAACCTGGTCTACAGAATGAGTTCCAAAGCTACAGAGAAACCCCGTCTCGATAAAAAACAAAACAAAACAAAACAAAAGTCTTCCAGGACTGGAGAAATGGTTCAGTAGTTAAAAGCACCCGGGTTCAATTCCCAACAACCACATGGTAGTTCACAACCGTAACTCCAGTTCCAGCGGATCTGACATCCTCACATCAATGTACACTGAATAAAATAATTTTAAAAAAAGGAACAAACAGGTTGAGGGCATTCCTAAACTGGATCTTGCCAAAAACAACATATATAGCTGACTTTCTCCAGTGGAGAAAAGTGCTTGGTTCTAACTTCCTTTCTGTTATCTACACATATCTGCATACTTCATCCAGTCCCTCAGCTGGATATAAGGGGAATAGAGAGCGTCAGGGAAATGGGTCTGGTGACCAGCCAGAAGGGACCCCCCCGCTCCGGGACCCAGGACTTGTATAGCTATCCCTCCAGATTGAACATGGTCTCACGAGATGGAACCACTAGTGTGCTCTTATGGAAGGAGAGTACATATGGGCTGCTTTTCTCATGAGAAGGGTGGGCAGCACTCTTCAGCTTCCCATGCTCCTGTAACCCCAATAAATTCCCTGGGTCACAAAACTGGACTTGAGTGCAATTGTTTCTTTGGTCAGGCTACTCTTATCAGGGTGGCTTCCCCCAGAAAAAGTCACATTGAGGCTCTGAGGTCTGAAGAGCTCTGAGAAAGGCCAGAGGACGAGTGGAGGGCCCTCAGAACTGATGGGAAAGACTCGAGGTGTGAAGGGACCGTGGCAAGGAACAGGAATTTTGAGGAGCCTGGGACTTAGGTATGGGAGACCTTGAAGAAGAGGCAGGACTGGAGTGGGAATTCTGAGGGACTGGGGAACTCTGAGGAGGAACCAGAGTGCTGAGGAACTAGCTGGGGTGGTGAAGGAGGTGAAAGCAGGCAACTGCGGTCAAGGGCATTCTCAACTACTAGTAAATTTGATGTCAGCTTGGGCTATATGAAAAGAAACCCTGTCTCAAGTTGAAAAACTAGGAAACAGATGTGCTTCAGTTGGTACAGCGGTTGCCTGATATGCATGAAGGTCTGGATTCCATCCCTACCACCACACAAATAGGACATGAGGCACACACCACATCCCAGCACTTGGGTAGATGCAGAAAAACCAGAAGGTCGAAACCATGCTCCACTAGCAAATTCAGTCAATTTTCATTACGTAACAAATGTGAGGCCACCCTGGGCTATATGCGACTCTGTCTCAAATTATTTTGAGGCAAGGTTTTTGCACATAGCCCTGTACTGAAACTCATTATGTAGAGCAGGCTGGCCTCGAACTCACAAAATCTGCTTCCCTAATGCTGGGATTAAAGGTATGTGCCACTATGCCCAGCCACAAGTTTTTGAAAAGTTCTGAGGGAGGGAAGTGTACAAGTGGGAGAGGTGAGGAGGCAGGCCTCTGAGGAAGGAAACTCGGAGATGTGCGGGGCTGCCAAACTAGGGATCAGAGAGAAGGCAGACGCGTTGAAACACCCAAGGGTTGTGGCCTCTGACCGGGATGGGAGCCATAAAGCACACCAGACTTAAGCAAACGCATGTATCGTCGTTACCATGGCAACCCTCAACAGGGTTCTCAGTGGCAGTTGAGAAGGCAAGTTTCTAGCGAGTCGCTGGGAAGGGGGAAACAGTGCCGGGCGCTGACGGGTGACGGCACCCGCAGGAAGCGTGTCCGGGGGTGGAGTAGTGTGTGTGGGGGGGGATGCAGAAGAGAATCGCTGTTTTCTAGACAACCCTCAACCGTTTCCTCAGCCTCCGTTAAAAAGACTGTTTGAGGCACGTCACGAGGGAGAGGGCGGTGCTCCGCGCCGATTGGTGAAAGGCGCCTGCAGGGCGTTTCTGCGGGCGCTGCTCAGCGGCGGTTGGCTAGTGGGCGCGAAGGGGCGTGGCATCTAAGTCTGCGGCGGTTGGCTGCTGCGCATGCGCGAGGGCTCCTGGCAGGACTGTGCCTCTGCGCTACCCGGCCCATCGCACATGGCCGCATCGCTGCGCCCCGTGCCGCTGCAGTCCGCCCCGCGCCGCCCAGCGCCCGCAGCTCCCTTGGGCCGTGACACGAGCGACGTCCTGCAGCAGATCATGGCCATCACCGACCAGAGCCTGGACGAGGCTCAGGCCAGGTACGGCGTGCAGGCAGGGAGTGAACGGGCGGAGGCGGGTTGAGGATGGGGACAGGTGCATCAGACCTTGGAGTGATGGACAAGCAGAGGGGCCTCTGGCCAGAGGAAGTAAAGGATTTTTTCGTGAGGAAAGGGGGCAGCGGCGTTATGGGAGTGAGGGCCCAGCCCTAGACAAGAGACATTAGAAGGATAAGTGAGCTAGTCATCTGTTATTGGTCGGTCCGAGGACCGCAATTTTGCAAGGCACACAGTTGAAGAGAAGCTACTGAAGAGATAACTAAGGTGTTCTGATGAAGGACCTTTGAGAACTTTCAGAAACAGATACGGGGAGCTGGATGGACCTTAGAGGGCAACACTTCTTCCTGCTCTTCATCCTCCTGTTCTTCTTTTTCAAGTCAGGGGCTCTCTGTGTAGCCCTGGCTATCCTGGAACTCACTCTATAACAAATTTGTGTTATGGATCTTGGAAGCAACTCCTTTTACCCATGGAGCCATCTTCCAGGCTTAGGGTTCTGGACACTGGAGTGACTGCAGAATGGCTGCCCAGAAAGACAGAAGGAAAAGTTTGACAGAAGCCCAGAAATTGATTCCATTCTAGGTACCCAAAGAATAACTCGGGAGTCATTTATTACCTTTTTTGTTTGTTTCTTTGTATTCAGAGACAAGGTTTCTCTGTGTAGCCCTGAGTAGCCTTGAACTCACATAGAACCTCCTGCTTCTGCCTCCCATGTGCTGGGTTTAAAGGTGCATGCCACCTCGCCTGCTTTGATTACTATATTTTTAAGACAGTTTCACTGAGCCCGGATATGACAGATGAGCTGAGTTCCTGGCATCCTCTCTCTGTGTGACATGCCTACACCCACAGCATGAGGGTTACATCTGTGTGACGTCCCCTGAAACCACGGCACCAGGGTTACATCTGTGTGACGTCCCCTGAAACCACGGCACTGGGGTTACATCTGTGTGATGTCCCCTACACCCACAACACCAGAGTTACATCTGTGTGACATCCCATGTAGCCCACACCAGTGTTACATCT